CGCTTAAAGCGTGGTAGACCACTCGGTTCCAAAGACAAACATCCTCAAAAGAAAAGATGAATGAATGATGATAATCATGAAAATATCATGAATAACATTGATAAACCTCAATTTAATGAGGAAGTCAACCCTGAAATAATTGCTCCAGAAGAGCACGATCTTGAAGAACATGATGAGATTATTGAAAACTCAATTAACTATGTCACTTCAAGAAAATATTGGAACCGAAAAAAGGCAATTATTGATAATGTCTTTGCATAGAGTTTAACACTTGATATAGTGGAAGAAAACGAGGATCAAGAGCCAAAATCGGTTCATGAATGTCGAAAAATAAATGACTAGCAAAAATAGAAAAATGCGATTCAATTAGAGTTTGACTCATTAAACAAAAAGGAGGTCTTCGGACCAATTGTTCAAATACCAGATGGTATAAAACCAGTTGGATACAAATGGGTGTTTGTACGAAAAAAAAATGAAGATAATGAAATTGTGAGATATAAAGTCCGTCTTGTGGCTCAGGGATTCTCACAGAGGCCTGTAGTAGATTTTGATGAAACATATTCTCCAGTTGTTGATGGAATAACATTTAGATACCTTGTGAGCCTAACAATGCGAGAAAAACTCGATATGCGTCTTCTAGACGTAGTTACTGCATATCTTTATGGTTCATTGGATATTGATATCTATATGAAAGTTTTCAAGGGATTCAATATGCCTGAAGCATACAAAATAAACCCAAAAGAATTATATTCCATCAAATTAAAAAAGTCATTATATGAACTTAAACAATTAGGGCGAATATGGTATAACCGTCTTAGTGAATGTTTAATAAAAGAATGTTATACTAATGATTCAATATGCCCATGCATCTTTATTAAGAAAAATGGATCAAATTTTGTCATTATTACAATATATGTTGATAATCTCAATTTAATTAGAACTCCTGAAAAGATCCAAATTGCAGTTGAATATCTAAAGAAAAAATTTGAGATCAAAGATTTTGGAAAGACAAAATATTGTCTGGGATTACAAGTGGATCATGTTAATAATGGGACATTTATTCAACAATCAACATATACCCAAAATGTATTAAAATAATTTTATATTGATAAATCTCACTCTTTGAGTACACCAATAGTGATCAGATCTCTTGATCCCAGTAAAGATCCATTTAGGCAAAGAGAAGAAAATAAAGAAATACTTAGCCCCGAGGTACCATATCTCAACGCTATTGGCGCATTAATGTACCTTGCAAATTGTACCAGACCAGATATATCTTTTTCAGTAAATCTACTGGCCAGGTTTAGCGCATCCCCAACAAAGCGCCAATAGAATGGTATCAAGCGCATTTTTCGTTATCTTCAGGGGACTCATGACCTTGGTCTATTTTATTCGAGTGAATCTCGAAATAAATTAATTGGTTATGCTGATGCTGGTTATCTGTTTAATCCACATAAAGCAAAATCTCAAACTGGCTATTTGTTTACTTGTGGTGGAACCGCAATCTCTTGGAGATCTTCTAAACATGAGCTACTTCTTCAAACCATACTGAGGTTTTAGCAATTCACGAAGCCAGTCCTGAATGCGTTTGGTTGAGGTCTATGACTCACCATATTAAGAAAAATTGTGGCTTGATTTCTGATGATATATTACCTCCTACAACATTATTCGAAGATAATACAAGTTGTATAGCTCAATTAAAGGGATGATATATTAAAGACGATCGTACAAAGCACCTATTCCCAAAGTTCTTTTTCACTCACGATCTTCAAATAAGTGGTGAAATTAATGTGAAATAAATTCGATCGTCTAAAAATTTTGCAGATTTATTTACGAAGGCGCTACCAACTGCAACATTCAACAAACTGGTGCAAGGAATTGAAATGCGTCGAATGAAATACATCAAATAAAGTCCAAAACAGGGGGAGCGCATTAATACAAGAATGATGTACTTTTTTTTTTCCTTCAGTATGATTTTTTTCCACTCATTTTTTTCATAATAAGGTTTTAATAAGGCACATTCTCTGTATAAAAACATTCAAGAAGGAGTATTACAAAATATACATATAGCGTTTTGTAGTCAATACATAATTCATACGCTTTGTAAACGTGAATGCATTTATACTCACTCAAGCATTAATTGTATGCCTATATATATATGCAGTGAGTTTACGAAATGAGAGAAAATCTTACATTTGCATTAACATTCTATCATTATTCTTACTTGTTTGTCTGTCTGTCTCTACTCACTTTCACTCACACATAATAAATGCACATACATACATATATATTTATTACATATATTTATCATTAATATTATACATATTAATATTCACACACCCATCATAACCGTGTATATATATATATATATATATATATTTACTTACCAACATATATTGATTATTATATAATTGGTCAATTATTCAATTAATCAATTCAAAAACACTTTCTTTTCTTAATTAAAAAAAAAAAAAAAAGAAAGAAAGAAATAGTTCACAAAATTACTCGTAGAGAAAAGATATTATAAATATAGGCGGCGGCTACAGTATGAACATCAAACCATATAACAACAAACAACACAATGTATTATTTCTGGTAGTACATCCTTTATATTAATATAATAAAAATACAACACATAAACTAACAACACACAATGTAATAACAAACAACACACTATATTACTTTTGGCCACACATCTCTTATATTAATATATTACAAATACAACACATAAATTAACTGCACCTACTATAGTCACATACAACACACAACAGTTGATTTTAGTACATCACGTACTTTTATATAATACACATATAATTCTAAACAAACAACACATGCGTTTATTACACACATCATGTATTGTGTTGTTTATATATATATTATATGTGCTGATTTGAAAATTCAGCGTGGTGCTGAAATATATTGAAATAATTATTCTCTATGCATATTGATATTTTTTATATTTATAATTGTTTTCCTTTTTTTAATATATGAACATTAAAAAAAAAAAAAAAAAGGTAATATGCAAAACAAAAAGGGTGTTTGAGCGAGCAATTCGGTCAAAAGAGGAGCATTAAAAACAAGTAGGTCAACGGTAGTTTCATCTAAGTCGGACAAAAAGTGAGTTCGATCAAAGGGACATTGACTAATTGAATTGAATTTTTGGACACGGGTGTGATATAAATCACAAATTTAGACAACTAAAGATTAAAAAAAGTTATATGGTCAAGGGGCAGAAATGTAATCTTATGTAGCTATCCTACAACTTTTCATATATATATAAGTGTATTGATACGGGAACAGTTAGAATTCTGAATTGAAAAATCAGCACTGTGTTGATTTTCAGTACTCTCTAACATATGCAAATAACACACATTCTTATTATACATAACAGACAATTTATAATTATAATTGTATTGTATAATAAATAATTTGCTAAAATTTATGTTGTATAAGATTATAGTCTGTGTTGTTACTTATGGGATTTTAATAAATTTTTTTAGATTTTAAAATTTTTATAGATTTATGTGGATTTAAAAAATCCACATAGTCTACGCTGAAATTGATGAATTTTAATAATTAATTTATTTTAATAGTTGATTTATATTGATTTTTACGAATTTGATTGAATTTTTTATAAATTTATATAGATTTCTTAGAATTTAAGAATAATTATTTTATTGATATATAATTATATAAATTTGTATCAAACACAAATTTTATAAATATAATATATTTATAATTAAAATTATTATATATTATTATATTTTTATAAAATAAAATAAAAAATAAATAATATATAATTATTAATAATTTAAAAACATTATAACATATATAACACTATTATATTATATATTAATATATTTAATTTTATAACGTTTAAGTATTATATTATCTTTCAATATATCAAATTATTTATATATTTTATATTTATTATTATTATTATTATTTATATAATATTTTTATATAAATAAATTAAAAAAATATTTTGTGATTTTTAAAAAAATATATTAAAATAATAAATAAATAAATAAATATCTATTTCATTGTCACGACAATATATTATATTTATTATGATAATAATATTTTATAAATATTATATTTATAATATACAAATATATATTTTCAAAAAATAATCGATAATAATTTGATAATATATTTTAATTTTTTATTATTATTTTTTATTAAAAATTATAATAATATTAATAAATATTATCATATTATTTATCACTATACAAACACAACAACAACAATAATAATAATAATTTTAAAAATCCATCAAAATCTCTGCTAAATACAAATTTTTCATAATTTTCCAAAAATATTCAATAAAATTCGACTTTAAAACTCTATGAATGGTTGAATACCTCAATATTTTAAAAGACTTTTAAAAGTTAGATTAAATACATCTACATATTAAAAAAACTTTTAAGAATTTAAATTGAATATCTCAAGACTATTAAATATATTTAAGAGTTTAAATTGAATACCTTAAAACTTTTAAAAATCACTCTCGTTAATGGATATTAGTTTATAATTGCAAGTGTGATGTATAACTGTGTATGTCGTGCTATGCACAAAATTATTATAATTCAATTTAATTGTTATATTATTTTTATTTAATTTTATAAATATTTGAAATAAATAAAAATATATACATCTCTTTAATTAAAAATACATAAAAATAAATAATTTTATAATTATAATTTTATTATTAATAATTTATCAAAGAAAACTTCCTAAAGAAAAATTGAGCTTTCATATCCTATCATATCCTATATATATAACTATAGCAAAGGATGTGAACCCCACATTTTATAAACTCTACAAAATGAGAAGCCAGAAATTTAAAGTGTGGGTCCACGCCCTTTGCTATAGTTATATATATATATAGAGAGATATAGAACAGGATATAACATAGGATACATATGTATTGATATATATTTTTATTATTTATAAATGTATACGTGTTTTGCAATGCTGTTCAAGAGGCATGTTAATCGTTTTACTTTTGCAACGATACCACCTGTATTTTTATTCTATGGAACTCAGCTTTCCTATTTCTGTTTTACATCACATTCAATTTTCCAATACAAAGCAAGTTTGGCCAGCGAATGACAGCTTCATCTAAACAAAATCTACAAAAGAGAGATCTGACAATGGGCACCAAGAATTTTTGAAGTAGTTTACATTAAATTTATTTAGGCTCACAAGATAGATACCATTTTGGAAAATCCGTCAAATAAATTTAGTCAATGGATAGGGCATTGAACACAAACAACGTAGACTCACAGAATTACCATATGACTCAGGAACTTCGGGTGTAGCTTAGGCCATATCAACTCACTTTTTGAGCATCTTCTACACTCTTCCGCATTAGAGATATAACATGGCCAGGATCTGGGGCTCCAAATACAGAACTTCCGGCGACAATGCAATTTGCCCCAGCTGAAGCTGCCATATCAATGGTTGAAGGCCCTAAACCGCCGTCTACCTGCAAAAGAGAAGTTAAAGCATCCAGGTATCCTTATCTGTGACAGGTAGCACCAGAACACATTGGACAAACATAAATAGCCATTGTCAGGTGCAGATTCTACATGGGAGAATAAATGAGAAAGGAATACAGTTGTTGGTTATTTAGGTTTTAGAAAGCTGAGAGATGTTAGCATTGCACTATAACAGGAGAGTAAGGTAAACAGTAAAGTTTCCAAGAGTGTAGCTGGAAACAATTTTTGAAAGAACCAACAAAACTAACAGTAGAATAATAGTTATTGAATTGAGGGAGAAGAATAGCAAATCCTAGGATTGAAAATGACCTCTATATTGAGTGAAGGGTATTTCTTCCTCAGAGCACGCACCTGAAAATAAAATACGAAAACAAATTAATTACATACAGAACAAACATAATGATAATTGGAAATTGGGAAACAATTTATGCACCTTGTCCATCATTTCTGGCATAAACTTTTGCCCACCGAAACCAGGTTCCACAGTCATAACAAGAACAAGCTCCACTGGATTTTCACCTTCAACCTTCAGCAATTTTGGACAGAAAATGTATTATCATATGCAATCTTCTTAGTTAACTATGATTCGGATGGATTTCCTTTGGTAGCACATAGAGAATTCCATACCAGAGGAAACACTTCTTCAATTGGGGTTCCAGGCTTCAAGGAAACACCAGGAGTCATGCCCCTTGATTTAATCTGTCGCACAAGCTTGGACCAATTATCTGTTGCACAGGAACCCGCTTAGGTTAACCATTACAAATTCAAATAGAATCCACAACCAATCTCTTAAGATCACAAAATTAGTAAATTAATCAATATTTCAATTATGGATTAGCCCAATATTTGTGAGAAGCACCAAAACAAGCGAGTGGAGAAGACACAGTTTACAATTAAAAACAGAATCTTAAATCAGGTTTCCACCTTTAGCAACTTCCACATGAAAAGTAAATCCAGAAGCGCCTGCCTTGCCTAAAGGTTCAACGTAATCCAGAGGATTTGTGACCATCAGGTGGCAATCTAAATAAGCACTAGAAAATAAAAGGAAGATCAACCATTAAGTTATTCAAGAATAAAAACCAAAAAGCCCTAACATTATCATTTGGAATTGAATTTAACAAAGGATAATATGCTTACTTAGTGTGTTTTCTTAAAGATTCAATAACTGGAGCACCAATTGTGAGGTTAGGCACAAAGTGGCTGTAAACATGAATCAAATATCAGCGCAAATAAATCCAATGACTATATTTTTGTGAACCCAAATACTTTGATTATTATCTTCTGTATTTTTCAAACTTTGCGATCTAATCATCAAATTCTTCAACTGCGAAAAATCATACCCATCCTGCAGAGAACCAGAATAACATAAGACAAAGACAATTATGCACTTAGCGCAAGCCCAGCAAAATAAGCTAAATACACATACACACAATCACGCTACTATAGTCCATACAATTTAACTTCATTAAAAATTCAAAGGAAGCATAAATCCCATACTAATTCCACAATTACGACTACTAGGAGAAATTTAACGAAATTTGACGTTGAGATTTTCATATTCACCCAATTAGGAAAATCTTCCAGGCGTATACACAATGGAAAGAAAACCAGCACGATTTTTATCAAAGAAGTATATCTTGATGCAACTACCACGCAGAATACATAGAAGCATGAATCGAATGCGAAAACACCAAATCAAATAAGTCTAAAAGTACCATAATATCCATGTGCAGCCAATCCGCGCCACAGCGGATCATCCGTTCCGCCTCCGATGCCAAGTTTGCAAAGTCCGATGACAGCATAGACGGTGCAATCTTCGGATTCACCATGGTTACCCTCCGGAGCTTTAACACAGAGACGCTCAAAGCGTAGACGACTGGGTGGGTGAAGATTAAAATCGAGTTTATAATAATATTAATTGATATAATTAGAAAGAGTAATAAATCAACCTTTGGACCAAAAATTTTAATTAGTCGGGCCAAAGTTTCAATTTATTGGGCCTCATTTGCTGTGTGTGTACAAGAAAACAGTGGTCGGCAGAAAACACGTGCAATGCGTCGCCCATCCATATTGACCAAGCGCACATCCAGCTTCTAGACTTCCCATTCCGTTTCGAACCGCCGGCAGTTCGCTAGTTTTTTAACTTACGGTTCCGGTTCAAACCGAAACTATCGAAGAAACCGAACTTCAACGGTTCGAACCGGCGGTTCAGTATGTATGTATAGTATATGTATATTTTCCCAAACCTGCGTCCAGCGATTCGATCGTGTGGTCGAAAATGTCGTGACGATGAAACGTGGCTGTCGAAGGAGGAAAAGAGCGAAGGAAAAATAAAAATAAAAATAAAAATAAAAATAGAAAAGAAGAAAAGAATGAGAGGATTAGGAAAGAAGATAACACCAAGGGGAAGAAATAAATGGCGGCTGCGGCTGTAGTGACTAGTGAGCACGAGTAGGGTTAAATTAAAAGCCATATATTTTTTTTAATAAATTAATTTTAATTTAAAATATTAATATTCCTTTTAATTTAATTATTTTTCATTTTAATATGTTCAATTTTACTATAGTATATTTTTTCATTATAAATATTTTTTTATTTATATTGTAATATTTTTTGTAAAATATTATAAATAATTTCATTAAAAAATAAATAAATTCAAAAGACAATTATCGTTTTATTTTTATTTATTTTACCATTATCTCTAAAATATTACTAATAAGCTAAAATTTACAGAAAAAATATATATTAATTTATATTTATATATTTAAAAATAAAAATTTAAGTTAAATAAATTTATTTTTATTTTTATTATAAATTAAATAATTATTTCTGAATTATTATTAAAAAATTTTAACAAATGAATATTTGTTTTGTAATTGAAATTAGCATCAAATTTAAATGATGAAAAACTTAAATTAAAAATGTCGAAAAAATAAAATAAAATAAATTCGCGGTTTAAATCGAAATTTTCGGTTCTTGAACCGTAATCAAAATTGTTAATCGAAATCGAAATCATAATTCAGAATATTCAATTTCAATTCAAATTTTCGATAAATCAAAATTGACCGTTCGAACCGTTTGAACAAGTCTACTCATTTTTATTGTTGAATAAATTTTGATTTTTTAATGCCGTGGACGGTCTTGATTTCTATGAAGCTAAAAGGAAAAGTATAGTTGAAAATTTATCGTGTTTTATTATTTACTAATTAGATACTGTCTTCGTCATAGCTCAAAGTATCTTTCTTATCATTTTTATTTTTTTAACTCCAAAGTATTTATTTACTATTAGAAAAAATATCATACACTAACACCAAATACCCTTTAATTTTTATTTAAATTACAAACGTATCATTACACATACAATTATTTTATACAAAAGTCAGAGAACAAAATGTCAAAATCTCTTACACACTTTCACTAATGTAATACCCCGATTTTGGAGTGTATAAAATAATATTATTATAGCAAATAAATATTTTCATAATATTTTGAGATCAAAAAATTAATATTCTGGAATAAATTTTATTTCTATTTTATATATTAATTATGATTAAAAAGACTGTTAATCGAATAAATATCGATAAGAATAAATATAACATATAATATATATATTACTAATATAATAATGATGATGGTAAGGATAATAATAATAGATAATAAAGTTAATAATAATAATAATAATAATAATAATAATTATATATATATATATATGTAAATTAAAGAAACCTTACCTACGAAGCGAAGGAAGACTGGAAGGAGAAACGCGAAGGAGAAGAAAAGAAGGAAGAAAAGGATTTAGCCGTTCGATTTTGATTTTGACTTCGGTATTATATTATTTGCTATACGTAGAATTTAATTATAGATTTTAATATGAATTTCGATATTGAAGATATTAAATTAGAAATTCTTAAAAAATTCATAATTTAATTGATGAATTTTTTTAGCTAATAGCCTATTCGTAGTCCTAGCATTATATTTTGAGAATTTCGTATCGATTCGAGTCGAATTGAAAACGGCAGTGTATTGCACCTGCATGTTTATTCATATCTTTAAATATTTTTATTTAATAATCGGGCGATATAAATATTATGAGGTATAAGAGTTTTATAGCTAGAATATCATAGTCTACTAAATATAAAAGTTTGAAACCGAACGAGTTAATTATAGAAATTAGCTTTTGAATAAGCAGGTAGCTTCTACGAATAAACATATAGCTCAGCTGATTTGAGTAAATAATGAGATAGGTGTACGTTAGAGGAGATTTGGGGTGAGATTGCAAAAGTGGGAGTGTCGATAAGAGGTAAGTAGTAAGGAATTAAATCTAATTTTAAGAAATTAGGTATGTATGTTGCATGCGATTCTGATTAATATGTTAATGTGATATTATGTGAATCATTTTGTCAGTGCATGTATATATTTATATATATGTGTGCGTATGGATGTGGGAGACTTCACGATTTATGATATCTGATATACGTATTTGATCGCGTTGGTGAATTTATGAAAAGGAGGATAGGTGAGCTGTCTCACCAGCCCTTTTCGGTAAATTCACTTATTTGACATGCTGCACACATATTGCACGGTTTATCGGATATGTTTTATGGATCTATCGTCTAGTCGCTGTGTGCGGTAGTGCTAGGCGAGGACATCATCTGGGGTTGGGATATTCGACCCCGATGTACCGTAACACTTCGGCGATAGTAGACGATAGTAGTCGGACAACCGGGTGACTTAGTCGCACGGTCATTCAGGGATTAGACCCATTGTAGTTGAGACGTATTTGGTCTAATCATTCGTGTTCGATGTTGTTCCACTCATTGGGCTGGCCACTGGTGAGGTCTACTAGTAGTTTAGGATCATATGTCAAACTCCGAACGTGATCCCGTTAGGGCGCGCGAGGAGGAGTAGAGTTTCCGCATTTCCCTTGGGTGATTCCAGATCGCACGGATTCTACTATATTACACGGGATAGGGCTAGTCTGGGGGTCCTATCTTCGCTATCACAGACTATGGGGCGTCTTGTGGTTAATGGCGACAACGTTCGGCTATCCATGTACTGATTGTGGGAGTCATATGGTGGGTATATGGGAGTGACCGGATGACCGTTATATTATTATGGGTTTATCAGGTCCTTCTTTGAGCCGAGGATTTTCCGGCTATTTATTGATGATAGTCTAGTGAGCTTGTTATTGCGTGGCCGAGGGTATTCCAGCTGCTCACTTAGACAGATGCAGTGAGCCTATTATTATGGAGCCGAGGTTATTCCGGCTGCTCACTTCGGCGGATGTATATATATATATATGTGGATGTGCATTGTTGTCGAGTTTGATATTTGTATTGCATCATTTCACTATTGGCATGGCATGACACGTATTTTATGATTAACGAGAATAAAACTTTATTTTTAAAAGGTATAAAATGACATATTCCACGTAGTTCTTAAAATGGATTTAATTCTAAACTGCTTTTAAGAAAATATTTGTTTCAGGTATGCATGGCACATCCGAGACAGGGGACGTCTCGGGATATAGAAAGACGGACTGAGTGAGTGAACTTACATCTATTGTATTATATGTAAATTTTTAACCGGAAAAACCTCTTGTTTAGGAGTGTGTTTTGTAAATATTTATAAATCAGATTTTGTTATATAATAATGTGCTTTTATGGTTAATTTTAGCTTTAACACTGTATTGTGGGGCCCGAAGTAGGAGATGACGACCTCATGATGCAGTGTGGCGGTAGCATTTCCACTATGAGCCAAGTGGGGGTGTTACAACTAACTAATAAAATATTAGTATTATTTCCTAATCTACTACAAAACTCCAAATAGCTTCTTTCGTTTGAGACGGAGAGAGTATTATTTAATTAGGACATTCTTTATTGTTACTTTTTATGTTATTTTTATTACTCTTTTTTTTTTTAGTTTTTCTTATAAGGACATATTTGTTTACTCAATTTATTTTTTTGGTTTATTTATAGAATATAATATGTATATATTAATACAATATATATAATATATATTTTGTTCATTCACAAAAATTAATAATTTAATAAAAAATATTATTTTTTATATAATTAATATGATTTTTCATATATAACATACAAAAATGAATTAACAAAAAACACAAAATGAGCACTCTTTTTACCTTCATTCAAAATATTAAATTATACGCTACTCTTGTTATATAATAAATAGTATAATAATATAGGTAAGTATATATAATATATGTATATGTATATGTATGTGTGCTGTATATGTTATTATATATATATGTATGCAGGCACTATGTATATATGAGTATATATTAGATATTAATATTATATGTAGTAGTGTAATTAATGGTGATAAGAAGCGAGAGAGAGATAGAGTTATCAAGTGTGTACCAATTCATTCATATACACAGGTATTTATAGGCAATATATAGGATAATGAGTGTATTGAATGCATCCACATAACAACTACGTGTACGTTTCGTAACACTCCCTCTTAGATGCTTTCATACGAAGAATGTGCCTCGTTAAAACCTTATTATGAAAAAAATCCTGTGGGAAAAAAATCATAGTGAAGGAAAAGAGTACACTATTCTTGTATTAGTGCGCTCCCCCTGTTTTCGACTTCATTTGATGTCTTTCATCTAACGCATTCCAATTCCTTACACCAGTTTGTTGAATGTTGCAGTCGGTAGCGCCTTCGTAAATAAATCTGCAAAATTTTCAGATGATCGAATTTGTTGCACACTAATTTCACCATTTTTCTGGAGATCATGAGTGAAGAAAATTTTTGGAGATATGTGCTTTGTCCGATCGCCTTTAATATATCCTCCATTTAATTGAGCTATACAAGCTGTATTATCTTCGAATAATATTGTAGGAGGTAATATATCATCGGTAATCAAGCCACAATTTTTCTGAATAT